ATTTATTTTTTTTATTTGCATGCAAGTATTTTTTTCATAATACAAAAAAATTTAATTTCATTTCATCATGTATCCGCATTGCTGTGGTGTACCTTCTTCCGTGTTCTGAATGTGACAAAAATATTATATTTAAAGTTTTGTATGGTTGATATGTACGGACTCCTGATATAAAATGTTAATATTTTTTATATAATATTTCAATAAGATTAAAATTTAAAGAAATATTTTAATCTTAAATGTACTTTTGAATCTGACCGGATAACAAGCCATATTTCTCCGCTCAACGCTATTAGTTCCAAAAACGTCCCTCTCCGGCGAGTGAACCCGTGAACAGAAGTGAGCTGCAGCCCGCATGGAGGATTACGAAGCCTAGGGCGGTTTTGCTCGATCCATTCGCAAGAGATTAGCTGTTCCCACTTTCGTCGGGGACCATCCTGTTCTACCGGGATGGGGGGTGAGAAGTTTAGACTCTCTCCCTCTCTCTCTTTCTCTCTAACAGATTTTAAATGGGGCATCCTTAGGGATTTTCTATCTAAGTCGGTAGAGATGGCGGTTTCCTCTGGCTTTGTTTAGTAGGTTTTTGACAGTTTTTTTTGATACAGGATTGGAAGGGAAAGGGAGGGGAGGAGGCGAAGTAGTTGCAGCAGCGAGAGGGACTGAATCTGGAAGTCTATGGCTGGCTCCGAATCCGAGCAAGAGATGGGGAGAACTCTTCTTTCTGTTCTATACTCCGTTTTGGCTCACACTCTGTCTTGGAATCATCGTTCCTTACAAGCTTTACGAGGTCTGTGCTCTTTCTCTAACTTTATTCTCTGTTTTTCTACCCGCTCCTCTGTTCCTCGGTTCGTATGTAATTGTTCGGGACTGCTTGAATGCAACTTCAACAGAAGTTTTAAGTAGGTTTTAACGTAAATTTTGTCAAATGGAGATCTTAAGAAAACATAAATCTCTTATTTCTCCCGTTGGATGTAAGATTTAATTTTAATAGGATTTGGCAAATCTGTAAATCCATATCATCCAAAGTAAATTTGAGATTATGCTGAATCGAAGACAAATTTGGATATACATCATAAATTTCAGCAAGCTTTTCAACTTGATCAATATTTTTGAGTCACTGATTATAAAAATGCACAAGTAAATAAATGCTTTTGAATAAAATAGATTTACAGTTAATAAACAATAATTCTTGTACGTGTTTCTCATAAGTAGATTGCAATCACATGTCATATAATATCTTCTTGAATTCTCTCTGTAATTATTACATGCATGTCAGGGTCTTCATTATGTACTTCAATCTTTCCAAACTGATTATATTGCACCTTAGTTTGAAATATATTAAAATATGGAGCATGCCTTGATAGGGACTAATGAATCTATGCAACAATGCACAAGCTATTCGCCTGTATAAGAAACTGATGCTTATGACTTAAGACTTGAAACATTTATTTCTAAATCCAAAAAATTCTCTCAACTATATTGTGTAGTTGTGCGTATCGCTGATTGTATAACTATTGTGTTATTAAGTATTTATAGGGCGTGCTTCAGTGATACCCACTTAAATAAAATCGATATCTTTTAAATGATGTCAAAAGTTTTTTAATGTTTGTAGAGTCAGGGTCAATCAAATTAAGTTTATTTTGTATTATGTTTAAGACTCTCATTCATAGACTATTGTAATGTTCTCATATTAGCTCTTGAATTCTCATAATATGAAGCAATGTCTATAAGTCGTTGATCAAATGAAACTATAACCATTACATTCTGCGAAGCAAAATAAAATCTCTTATGATACTTGACCAGCAACCGTATGCTGACCACCACCCGGATATGAGCATTATGTATTGCACTAATAATATTATGAAAACATGGATAAAATTTTGGGTTGCTCCGTATGAAAATATGATAGCCTAGTTCAAATGGGAAACTTAATACACTTTTTCAAAAATGACGCAATTGCTCCCATTGCAACATTGGAGTATCTTCTATTTGTTATCAAATAGTGCTGAAAAAGTTAATAAAATTTTCTGTATATCTTTTGAAGACTTATTACTTTCATGATTTACTAAATCATATTTGTGTTAAATCCCACTTGCGACCCAACAGCTCTATAGTATTTTTTGTTAGTTTTATTGTTGTGATCTTCTTCAGATGTAACCATTAGATTTTGAGATTTTATTCGTACAGTGTCATTATTTTCTTCGATTACTTTTGACCTTCTTCCTAGGAAAGACATTTTGAAGGCTTGTTGTGGAAGTATTATGATAAATTCTTATGTGGGCACTGCAATTTATAAACTTTGCTCTATTTTTTTCAAATACCTTGTTGAATTTGATTAGATTTTAAAATTCAACTTTTTGTTGGGAATAAGGATACATATTAATTGGGGTTACCGCAGATACTGAAGTTTATTTACGGTCATAGATAGTTGAACTCTTTGAACTTAGCATTTTTATTTTTTTGTGCTGCATTAAGCTTGCATTGATGGGGATCAATTCTGATAACAGAGCTTCACCGAGCTAGAATATTTACTTCTGGGATTGGTTTCAGCGGCACCAACCTTTTTGATACCACTGGTTTTTGTTGGTAAGGTATGAAAAACTATCAAATATATTTTTTTCTGCTTTAGAGTAAATGTTACATGCAAGTTTTTCTGATGTAGGCGATTAAATGAGGGTGATTCCCTTCATTTCTATGCTATTTGGTTGGATGACTGTCTAAGTTTTGCAAAACATTCTGGCAAAATATTAAATATCCTGGAAATCAAATTTTTTTATTCTTGCTGATACTTTAATTTGTGGCAAATTTCTTGTGTTTTTCTCCTAAGGTAAGATGTTTCCTTATACACTCGAATGGTGGCTTTCTTAGCATTCATTCATGGTTTCCCCAGTTTGTTGGCAGGCTGCCTTTAGGGCAACTTTTAAGCTCTATGTGTATAGTTTTATATGATTAAAGAAATTCCTTTTTGCTTGAATACGATTTATTTAGGTAACAATTCAATGTTTAGGCATTTTTATTATTATATATTGAAAACAAGTCATGAACTTGCTGATAAGTTGAAGGTCTCATGGCATATTGAAAATTATTTTGAAACCTAGTGGGAAAAAATCAAACTTTTAATTTGAAAGTGTCTATTAGGAGTGAATATGATGAAACCACAAAATATTAACAAAGAAATCAAATGCTACAAGATATTAAAATTTGTGATTTGGCTAAAATAATAGACTACAAACACAAAAATGGAGAGAGTTTGATCCAATATTATTATAATGCTACAAGATATAAACGTACAAATAAAATGAGCAAAAGAAAACACTCCTAAACTCAAATACACCTAATCTCATTATTAAATAAAGAACGAAAGCTTTCTTGCTGAATAAAAGAGAGTACTATAAGAAATATGATTAATAAAGAATATTTCAATAATACCAAAAAAATGCCACCCAAATGCTCCACAAATTGTTCTTTCGCATGTCTATTGAATTTTCACAATATTTATGACATGATTGTGCTTGCATTGCATTAAGATAGTTATACATGGTAAATTTTTTTTTTTCCTTGATTAATTCTATTTCTTTTCACTCGATTGCCTTAGCTTTGTTTTCTTCTTTTTTTATCTCTTCTTAATTCCAATGGCAACCCATGTCTACTAGCCATTCCAAGCTCAACTTTCTTTTTGGCACATAATAAGTTCATGCATGCATACCCATCTCTTTTTTTTTTTTTCACTTATTTATGATCGTTTAAGAAGGTGAATCTTAAATTTATATTAAGTTTAAATTTTGTTGTCCTAAATAACAAAATCTGTAACAAACTTTTAATTATGATTTTATACAGAAAAAAAAAAGATATTTATATTTGTTCTTAGACCACAAATTTTAACTATGTACTTATCCTAACAAAGTTAAGTTAAAATTTTAGCAAATCCTCTACTTATTCAATAATATGACAATGTAAATTTTTTTCTATTTTTCTAATATTGTCTTCGTTTCAAATTGAGCTTTTCACTAATACCCAAATAGTGTTCGAACATCCTCATGAGTGGCTTCATTATGTAAGTTTGACTTCATTGTACCTAAACCTACTATCTTATACACTAAGTCATTTTCTAAATGGACATAGTCATTTGAACATGACTCGAGTGGAAAGTAATTCACACAATAATATATGTCACAAACAAGTAGAATCCATATTCATTGATCAATGATCTTTATCTTACATTTATTAGAGAAGTATTATTCAAATTTTCATCTGGCCAATTTGATGATTTATCCTCGTTATGTTTGTCATCGACATGTTATTCCTTGCTTTCCAAAGTTTGACATTCTCTATCAAAATGGTTTCTTCTTGTAATCGAACATGTTGTATTCTCTTACCTTCAACGAGATTTTCTTCACCATGATTAGAGGTGTACTACATCTTAAAAGGTCTTCTCCTATCCAACAATCCATCTAATACTTTTTCTTTAACACCTTTAATCTTAATACTTATATCTTTAGTAAGGAGTGAATTTTTAGCATTCTTTAAACTAATTGTATTTGTCCAATATAATATGACATCACAAAAATTTTCTTAAGAGAGGGAGGTTATGAATACAATAGTAGCAAAGCTTGATATTCATCATCAACTATCATAACAAAATTCCTTCGCTCAATGTAATGAAATCAAGCTCATTAAGATTTGAAAATTCCACTTATATCTTCATTAAGATGTAACAAAATAATACTATAAAATCACCACTTAAATGCCCCTGAAAAAGTTTCTTCAAGCATTTATTTGAAAAATCCAAATATGTTTAGCATGAGTACCAGTGTTATGTTGATTGTCTATGGTCACAATATTTCTTTAATAAATATCTTGTTTCTAAATGTTTTTTTCACTTGTTTTCTCTTTTTTGTTATCTCTATATCATTTTTACTTCCAAAATTGCACATTGCAACAGACTGCTCGCGAGTCCGGATCTCACTTAGCTCAATAGTTTATTATTGCATGCATGACTTTTTTCCTTTTGGTTCCTTATAGGAGTTTAAGAAGGTGAATTTCAAATACGAATTAGGTTTAAATTTTGGTTTGAGCCATCAAAATAGCAGAATTTTTAACTAACATAATAATGAATCTATCCAAAAGCAAAATGATAATTCTATTTATCCTAAAAGTGATACTTTTGAATTTTATGTTCATTTTTAATGAAATTATTGATACAAAAGTCTAACGAAATCATGATTGGAAGATGTGAAGCTTATTCTCATGTAAGCACTTCCCATTTTTACTTAATTAATTTTTTATTTTATTTGGGAACATATATAGAGTGCTTCCTCAAGTTGAAATGCACTTTTAGTGGAGCGTTTGTAATTATGGATTTATAGTGATGTTATTGTTGTTTAAGAGGCCATTTGGTTTGCTAAAAATAAATTACAATATAAAATGTTTGCAGAGTACTATGATTATAATGTATTTGAAATACTATTATATTATTTGATTCATTATACAATAAATGTAGGACTTTATATTTTTTGTTTGGTTTGAAGTGAATTGAAAGTAATGTATTTACTTGGGCGCGGGGGTGGGGTGGGGGGATGGAGGCGGGGGGCGGGCGCCCCCGAACC